TTTCAGCGCTTTAATTTGCATCAACCTGACTCTGCTGTCTAAGATTTCACAGCAGAATTCATGTGCATTTGTTCTACAACTGAAATCAGATTTGACACGGAAGGGAACTGGAAAAAGCACCCCCTAACCCTTCGACTGAACCACAACTGATAAAATGTGCCACGGAAAAAGCAGACCTGCACATCCTTCTCTTTTTCTGGTTTTAATTAACAGAGAAAGTGAGCAACAAGCCAGGTGGCTGACTCAGAAAACCACCGATACCAGGTGCTCAGAAAAGAATCCTGAGTTTGCAGTGTCGCTGCAGATGGCTGCTTCTATGGGCCCTCTTGAGCGTAAGTACAAGTGGCACTTACTGAAGAATCACACATGAAAGACTCAGCATGACAAGCTGCTGTATCCATTCTGCGCTGCCACAGTCATCAGCAGCTTTGTTGGCCTGTTACTGGGGGTTTAATGAGACACAGGGGGAGCACACTTGGCTCCCTGAGATGCCTCACAGTCTTCATTTCTCCACCACAATCAAGTGCCCCCACTTCAAAGTAACCTTTTTCCAATTAGACAGCCAGCACCCTGAGCCAGCTGAGCATGATGGAGTGTGTGGAGGTGTGTATTGACAAATGATTCTGGCACAATGTAGCCAATTGAAAAATCACCAAATTCATTATAACTTGGGAACAGTATAAACTCCCTGTTACATGATTTACAGTTTTCCGAATCTGTAAGAAAAAAAAATTTAAAAATCTCACAGATTCAATTCAAAGTAGATGTAAAAAGTAATGAATAAAAAATGATTCAGCGTCCCTTCCATTCAAGCTGAGAAAAGCTGAAAACATTAAATAAGACATTTTATAGACAGTCCCCAAATTAGATGAGTCTGTGCTCAGGAGGAATTTCAAATGATATCTACTCTGACAGCAAAGGAATGTGGCCTTGAGTAGCTCTGGTCAAAGTCAGATCTTTTTTAAGTAGTAAAAAAAGCTTTCCCTCAGTGCTTGTATACTGTACTATATTACTGAGCCGGCACAAAGCCAGGCAGCAAATGCACTTGCCTGTCTTTCCCTGCACCCAGCAGACAGATAGATGAGGACAGGATGAGTAGAATAGATAAATACCCATCCCCTGCCCTGAGGCTGGGCACGAGCCACACATTCATGCTGTGCTCTACTACCCACTGACAGTATGAGGGAAGCTGGGCTGAAATAGAACAATACAGCTTCTACTCACAGTGGAAGATATTAACAAAAAAAACCCAAAAAGATGCAAAAATGAGATGACTCTTTAAAGGTTAACAATCAAGCAAACTAGTGATGCCATTTTTATATCTTACCTCCTCTAACTGTGACAGAGTGGAAGAGCAGGGTGCCCACAAAGACCCAGGCAGGGATCCCTTGTTCACATGAGCGCACCATATCTTCTCAGTTATTCCCTGCCTCTCTTCCTTTCCTCTGTGCCACTCTTCCCTGACCCTTCTTCTTGCTGCTTGCTGCTGCCTTTGTCGTGTGTGTGCAGAAAGGTGTGTTGCCCCGTGTGTGCCGCCCGACTCCCTGTCCCGCACTCTTTATGTAGGACGCTGGCCTTTCCCTGGCGCATCTCGCAACCCCACGGACTCCATTGATTGGTGGAATCTGGCAGGGGCGTTGCTATAGCGACAGCTTTGATTTTGAATTTCTCCCTTTTGGATGTTGCATGGCATTGATCAGCGGCACCAGGGGCCAGCCAAGGACTCAACATTTTTTCCTTTTTTTTTACATTTAAAAGTCAGAGGGGTTAGGTACTATTAACAATCAATATTAACACAGTTTCACGTGTTAATGGAATTCAGAATGCAACATCTCTGACCTGCAAAATTTTGTATGTGATATCCACATTAAGTACAGTCAGTGCCATTTAATTAGTCAATCAATTAGAGTAGGTTGCCACTGAGACTATCTGCCAAAGGTAATTGGAGTTCTAATGTGTATGACCAACTGCAGTCAATCAAATTTCATAATCCATTTACAGGGCAGTTTTTCAGCTGATGGTAATTATTTCTCTGATGGCATGTTAATCTAAGTAATGGGAGGATAATTTCATTGGTGCTGGGTCTGCTCATCAGTTTAAGGCAAGCTTTGTTTATCAAATTCAACTGCCAATCAGGTTTTTGTATTGTCTAGTTTACTGAGATTGAAATACATGTATTTTTAGTTGTTTGTGTAAAAAATAAAAAAAAGATTTTGTAACATTTCTCAGTGCATCATGAAGTGCAGGGAAAACTATTTTCAGATGCCATGTATGTGCGAGCAGTTAGGTTCCAGCATGATATGGAGTTAATGGCTGCTGCTGCTGCTGCTGGCAGGGGACATACCAACCTCAGTGCTATGATAATCAATATGAAATGCTATAATGACTCAAAGTGAGCTCAAGAGCCACATGACATGTATCCTAGAATAACTTGCACTAACTAGGCTCCAAGAGAGGTGAAGTGGCAGCTATGACTGTGGTCATGACCTCAGTCCTCAAAGAGACTTTTACAGTTCCACTTAAATGACCCTTTATTTATCACTCAGCCAACATTGATCTTTTAGTCAGAGATGGGTCAGTCAATACTGAGATACCTGTTAAAAACTTCTCAAAAAATAAGCTAGATATGGATGTGATATTAATAAAAAAAATCTATGCATCTGCCCAGGCCATTAGTCCAGTCACAAAAGTACTAACACGCTGTAATGTGATAAATGTGTTTAAAATAGCTCCAATTCCACCGTGCTCAGTATGGGACAGACAAGAAGAGACATCATCTCAGAGGGAATTGGGTTGTGGTGAAGCCCCGAGGGCTGCCTGGCTGCAGTGAAAATGCCGGAGACGACGCATCCTTCCTTCCTGCAAGACCCCAACCTGAGCCACTGCTATGAATAACCTGACAGGTTCTCAGAAGAGAGCGGTGCTGAGGCGCCCTAATGAAGCATGCTGCAACAACCTGGACGAGACAACATGGACCAGACAACATGGACAAGGCAACGTGGCTCAGATGTGGTGGCACCTTCTATCTGTTTTATTTTCTGAAAGTGAACACAGAATGAATGAAATGAATCTTTATGAATGCAAATAATGAGTCTTGTATTCTTTATATATTTGGCAATTGGTTTATTAGCTCAAAGTGTAGCTGTGTGCTAAAACACGATTCAGACAACTGTTGTGTAGCTACAGAATTAGGATTAGAATAAACCCAAAGCCCCCCTTTTTTTTACATGTGCATCTGAAAAGGGCATGTCCTTCATTAAGGTCACATTGCTTTCTCCTTTGAGATCAGGTCTTATTAAGAATCTGCTAACAGGACCACAATGCAAAGGGGTGGATTGATGAGTTGCTGGGGTTGTGAGAGCACCCCTCAGGACAAGATCCATTGAGGGATCGATGCACCACAGGGGGCTCCATCACACAGTATAAACAGTACGTTTAGTACAGGCTGCGTGCCAGAATTAGTTTCAGCAAGGCGTCCTAGATGACCTTATTCTCGTGCTGAACCCAGAGGGACTGCACTAGATAACCAGGTCTCCAAAAACATGACAAAAGAAGCTGAATACATGTAAATATATAAATGTTAGTGTTAAAAGTGTAAGAATAACTAAAAAAACTGAATATCATGAAATATGTAGAGATGTTGTATTCTGCTATCATGTCTCACAGTTATTTCTAAGGATCTGACATTCATTCTGGCAATTGTATTTGCTGCTTTACTCCCTCTTTTGTGGCACAGTCTTTTTTCTAATATAAACTACAGGTTTTACAACTATCTGGAGTAAAAGAGAGAGAGAGTAAGTTTTGTGACTTATGGCAAAACAAGAAAATATATCACAAGAACACTCTGGTTTGTCTTTAGAGACAAAACTCTGCTCTGCTGTATATTCTAGTCTAACATGTCACGTCTCCAACCAGCAAATACTGCAAACACAAAAGAAAATATCATTTTAAAAAAAAAAAAAAAAAAAAAAAGCAGAAGCAATCTTTTACTTTCAATCCCAACAATGGAACGTGTCATCTTTATATGCAGCCCGGCATTTAGCAAATTTCAGATGTGTAAACGTTTTATTGCGGTGAGCATAACTTTCTCCTAAAAGCTTAAAATCAATGGCATCAGTCAATGTTCTTATTTATCAAATGGTTGTTAAGTGGCACGGCCTACAACAGATCAATAACAAGATCTATTTTGTTGTGTAATCTGATTTGATTGTGTTTCACTGGGGGAAGGGGGGGGGGGGGGGGGGGGGGGGGGGGGGCAGGAGTCAGTCTCTACTATAATAATATTTTCCACCAGGTGGCTCTGCAAACTGGACACACAGTCTCACCTCTGATGATGACCATTCACTCAGAAGAGAAAGAAATGTCATATTCATACTCATTCATTTTTAACAGGTATTAATTTCATTCTTAAAAGACTTACTCCTTGGCATACACCAGACTTGACTTATAACAAATGTATACAGGTCATTTTCTTCAGTAGAACTTAAAGTAGGCCAAGTCAAAAAGCAAGCTGCTGTGTGTGCAGCAGCTGATCATTTCATAAGAAATCACCTGTAAAGACTAATCACGAAACTGATCCAATCACTAGACCTGTGAAAGCCATTAATCATCAACCATCAGTGCGTTTGAAATCAAAGTCTCTGCGTGTCGAACAGTTCACAGCTCAGTTATGTAGTTACTCACGCACCCCATTAACAAGTGGAAATATCACGTTAGAGGTTGAGTGGCGCCTTTGTTTGGATGTAAGCTGCCTAAAACAAATAAATAGGCCGGGTGCTAATCTCACAGAATATGCAAAGCTGCAAACACTTGGGCAGAGGCTGGATAGAGACACAGGGAGAGCGGTTCGAGCTGAGTAATAATAACTGCAGAGGGCAACTAGTTTGATGCGACTGTCGGTGAGTCGATGATAACATGGTTCAATAACAAGCGAGAAGGAGTGGGCGGATGGAGGACTGTTCATGATTGAACAGGGACGGGGGGGGTGGGGGGTGGAAGAGGCTCTATTAAGTGGATATATGAATGCACAGAAATTGGTCGAATAATCTACCAGGGACTTAAACAGACTCAAGACAAAGCAACTACTTCGGGCCAGGCGAGTTTCATTATTCAGTGACCGTCTATTCTCACCGGGGTTCATCCACCTGAGTCACCTGTTGGAGCTGCTCTGCCTTCAGTCCAGGTAAGACGTCCCTGACGGAAAATCACTTGGGCCTACTTACTGTTAACTAATGTAATACTACTTCTGTCATTACATTCATGGCTTTGACCGTTAATTTACTGTAATATGTCTCATCATGATGATTTTAGCCTGCTGCCATACTAAATTTGCTGTACACTTAACATTCGCTGTCCTGTGAAAACCACGTAGATCCAAAATGTTTCTTGAAAAACAAGGAAAAAGCTCTGTCTTTAGCTTTATTACAGATAAACAAATGTGGGTTGTACTTGGTTTTAGAAGCAGGATAATTTACTCATACAGTATTCAAGTTTACAGCAAAACGTGTAAATGACCAAATTTGTGATACGTAGTTTACTCTTGACAGTGACAATGTCCCTAGATCATTGAATGCTATACTGATGGCTGTTGTTGTTTGGATGTTGCTGACAATGTGAAGCTATTGGATTTAAAGTTACAAAACAAAACAAAACAATCTTACTTTTAACTGTAACTGTTTGACCACTGAATGACACCAGTAGGCTGGGGCAGGGATGCTGGGTGGGGGGAATCCTCATTATGTCTCATGGTAAAATGTTAAAAATGAAGCCTCAGTAAATTAGATGGTGTAGCATAGCTAGGCTGTGTCTGATCTGTGATTAAAATTCACAGCAGCGTGATAATTAAAGGCAGGGGAGACAATGTGTTGTAATTCCTGGATTCTTCAGTAACTTCAATGGATCTATTTAATTATCACAGAGAGACTTCACACAACTGAGATCACTTACATTATTAAACTCCACTTGGCAGGATGCAGATGATAGTTTGTTTGGTGTGCCGTGACACAATAATAACCCAGAGAAACAAATTTTATTTGCAGCTGTATGCAGAGTCTGTAGTTTGTTTGCTTGTCTGAGCTGTTAATTAAGGATGCAAATAATAAACCCTCTTTGAACTCAAGCTTAAACAATCAAGTTGTTTTTTGTGGCAGGTTTTCAGAATAACAAGACAAGCAAGATCTTCAGTGAAGCCATGGAGACGAGTGCTCCAAATGGATGTGGTTACAGCATCAGCTCCATATATTACAACCTGTGTGACCTGACTAAAGTGTGGGGGGTCGTGGTGGAGGCCGTTGCTGCTGCTGGTGTGGTGACTTCCTTTATCCTCTTCGTCATCCTCATGGCCTCCTTACCGTTTGTGACGGACAAGAAGAGAAAGGGTATGGTGGCCCTGCAGGCGGCCATTCTGGTCTTCACTCTGGGACTCTTTGGACTCACTTTTGCCTTCATCGTGGGCCGGTACTCCACCAGCTGTTCTGCACGCAGGTTCCTGTTTGGAGTTCTGTTCTCAGGCTGTCTATCCTGCCTGGTGATGCACGGGCTGTGGCTTGCCCTGCTGCAACGGAGAGGCCGGGGGCCCAGGAGTTGGATGCTGTGTCTGGGAGCCCTGGGTCTGTGGCTGGTTGAGGTGATCATCAACACTGAGTGGCTTATCCTTACTGTGGTCAGGAGCCCACCTGGAACTTTCACTGTCCCTGACATGTCCTGCAGCATTGCTAACCAGGACTTTGTGATGTCACTAATCTATGTAATGGTTCTGCTGCTAGCTGTGGTGCTGATGGCTGTGCCCTCACTGACACACAAGCACAAGCAGTGGCACCGAGATGGAGCTTTCATCCTGGTCACGGGGCTCCTCACCCTGGCTATCTGGGTAGCTTGGATTGTCATGTACGTCTATGGGAACAGAGTGGTGGGGAATCCCAGTTGGGATGATCCAACTCTGGCTGTAGCTGTGGTGTCAAACGCCTGGGTGTTCCTCTTCCTCTACACCATCCCAGAAATCTGCTTCCTGACCCAGGAGGACCCAGACCAGGAAGAACCCCATGATGGAGAACACATCTATCCTGCCAGGAGTCTGGTTTATGACACGATCCTTAAGGAGCCAGAGCCCCCCCATCAGAACATGTACATGGAGAATAAAGCTTTCTCTATGGACGAGCCTCCAACAGGTGCAGTATGACACATTATGGTCTATGATTAATCTGACAGTAATTATTGTACTCAACCTTAGCACATACTGTATGTACAGCATACAACAGAACTGAGTACACCCCTGTGCAATATCACTAAAATGTTTAATGACTGAAAAATGTATCATCTTTCAATAATTGCATTACTGTTAAGTTGAAGTGTAAGGTGTTTGATCTTATGTATGATTTAAAAAAAAAAAAAACATATTAGATAGACTACATTGAAAATACAGGCCCTAAAATTCAACCTCAATCCAACAAAAGTAAATTAACCTGGGATCACTGCAACTAATTTCATTACAAATGTGGTATTTAAGTTGTGAGATTGTGAGACTTCATAAAGATGTGGTAGGGTACAAGAGCATCAGTAAGCTACCCAACATAAGCTACAGCGGTGGTTAGACGGTATAGGTAGAGCCATACTACCAACAGCAGAGTGCAAAGTGGCTGTACCTGAGAAATGATCCCACATGCAACTCTCTGTTTACACAAATTTGCATTGAAAAACAGCCAGGTGAGTGTTTCTGACTTGGCAAAAGAATTATGTGTGGACACTGGTGTTTCAGTGACTGATCGGACAGTGTGAAGGACACTGCATCAAGTCAGCCTCTACAGAGGGTATGCAAAAAAATAAATAAATAAACCACTGCTCACAAAATGGCACACACCTGCAAAATTAAACTTTGCCAAAGGACATGAAAAGAAAGCCTGATGAATGTTGGCAGCACATTTTTTGGTTTGATGACACCAAAATAAATTTGTTTGGATAAGACGGGGTCCAGCATGTTTGGCATGGACCTGGTCAGGACCACCACAGTGACTTTGCAGTGCCGACCAAAAAACTGAATGAAAGGATTGACCAGTTGGCTTCTTTCTTCTTAGGCTTTGGTTAAAAACAAATGACACTGTATTAAATTGACAGGTTTTGTAATGACTTAACATTTTAGTGATATTGACCACGGATGTACTCAGTTCTGTTGTATACTGTATAGGTGGATGTTGAAACCTCAGAGCCCAAATTCAAAATTTACCAGCGGGACAGGAAAGCACTTCAATCGGTCAACAGTCTCGACCAAGCTCAGGAGAGTTAGAAGACATAATGAAGTGCAACGATGGTAGCATTCATTTTAACAATATTGGCACTACTACATCAGCTGTTGCCTCTTAGACCAAAGGAACAGATTGTGAAATAATTGGCTGTGTCTTTTTTTGGTAAAACAGTAAAAAGCAGCAACAGTTTTGCTGTTATTTGCCATTTGTCAGTTTGTATAAACCCAGGTCTTGTCAACAAGAATAATAAGGAAATACACAAGAATAACAACTTGCAGGCAGGCCAAAAATATTCAGTGTAATGATTTGTCAGCATAATCATCATTGTTCATATCCCCTCACACACATAAACAGCTTGGAAGGGTGTTGACAATAACACATTGTAATTGCAAATTACATTGTGCTGTCTTGCCTGTTTTTTTAGTTTTTTTTGTTGTTTTTTTTTTAGGAGGGTTATTTTGAATACTGCCTTATACTATTTGTTCACCCCTTTTAGCTTTATGATTAGTCCAGGTGCAGATAAAAAGTCAAATCTATTATATGTTTCTTTTTTTTTTTTTAGAATATGTTTACTAAACTGAAAAAAAAAAAAAAACAGTTCACAAATTGATCAAAAAACACAAATAAGTACAGACTAGAATTGTATCAGCTTTGCACATTTGGACTCACAGTTTTCTTCCTGTGCCACTTATGCATCGTGTTCCTTTTTAGGAACAAAGTCTGATCTACTTACTGAAGGTTGTGTCCTTGGCCAGTATTATGAGGCAGTGTCTTCACTCACCTACTTGGACACAGACATCACTGTACTACAGTTACAAAGTTTTGAAATAATGTAACATATTTATTTGTAAACAACATTTGCATGGAAGTCTTAGACTGTTACATTATCAGTACTACTCTGGATATTTTCAGCATAAGTGTCAGTAGTGTATCCTGAACAATGCTAAGACGATTATTGGGGTTATCCACCATGGTTTAAGTGCATGACCTCGATGACAAAAAGAAACTAATTATGAAGAGGAAAATAGTGACAAGAAAATGTTGTGTCTAGTACGTCTCAGTACGACACAGTCGCATATTTAAAATACTGCATTCTTATTTCAAAGAATCAAAATATCCAGCTTGTGCACTTACATAAGCAACAAATGTTGTGTGTTGCCACAGAGTCGTGGCAGATATCATACAAGTGTATCGTTTCTGTTTTCGCCATCTGTACTGTGTTTTGATGTAGAATTTGTCTGATCTAAAACAAAAAAATTGTATCATATAATGGACTGAACAAAGACCATTTAAAACACCACCTTTTCTTTACCAGCGCCCACAAAGCCAGTGTCTCCATATGGGGCTTACAACGGTCAGGTACGAAGTGCTGTGTACCAGCCCACTGAAATAGCCCTGATTGCAAAAGGTCTGACAAAGGTGAGTGCGTTCATAATACGTAACACCACACCACATAATTCGTAACACCACCTCATCACATCTGAAATAATACTTCCTGATGTGTTTCTACAGATGGACCAAGATGCTATGATCCCTCGAGCCACAGCCCCCTCTTTGAATCCAGGAAGCGGCAGCTCGCTGCCTCTTTCATCTGAGTCCTTACCATCCTAAGGATTGTCACACACAGGCGGACTGTCGAGAGCACATTGCACACTCGGTTGTTACAGCTATGAAATAAATCTCTACCAGGGGTTTGTTCTAGCATCAGTTCCTAGTAGCAAATGTAATGTATCCCGCTTTCTCTTCCTTAGGAAAATGCTTTAAATAATAAGACGCTGTGGTGAATCTCCAGCAATATGCAGTAATATGACCTAGCTCCTCTTACAGACCTCCTAATTTTGCCTTATATTTTATTTCCTCTGTTCACGCACTGCTTGTCTGTTCTGTATGTACACAGGTTGAGTGGCATAAATAAAAGATTACAATGACTAGAGATGGGCGGCTAATGTTTTCAGAGCCAGTATGAAATTTTCCATATGGAAAAGTTGTGTCTCAGCTAGTCCATTACATTTCCATTCTCACTATATGGAAACTAGTGCTTAAAACCTTCTACTGTCAACTGTTAACCAGCTTTGTTCACTTGTAGCTTCACTAACTGGACTCCTATAAAAGACAATCATCCAAGAGAAAGAATTGAATGCACGTGTCTCTACAGGAAAGCCATAACTTTGCCTTCTAGCTACAAGAAAGACCAAAAACTATACATTTTGTCTTAACTTTTTCAAAATCTAAATCCCAAAGCAACGATACATATAAAACTATAGGTTGTTGGTGGAGAAAGAGCAGACGAGGACCAGGTGCGGGGTGTTTAAAACCAGACTAGCCTTAGTTGTGTGCAGTGTAAAGTCAATGTCTATAATTGACTAAAAGTTGGGCTTACATTGAAACCAATATGATTTTTTTCTGTCTTGTCATAATTCTGCTGCATGTAATTTGTTAATCTGTCGACTATTGCATAACATACTTTGTTCACTTGTGAAATGATGTTGAGATTCAGACTTCCTCTGAAGCCATATGATTGCTTTTGTAGATTGTTGGATTTAAAAAATTAAATTTTGTGTAAAGGTGTAAATTATAACTTATTAAAGCTGAAAAGATTCCTTAAATCCTGTGAGGCTGTTGGGTCATTGGATTGTAACAGGTAGCAACTCCCAAGCAAACAGGAGTCAGACACTGAAAGAGGAAGTGTCACAAGGATTACCATCTACACTTCCTAGAACAGTTATTTACATATTTTGGCTTGATAAGCTTTACCTAGTGAAGGGATTGGCTCTCAAAATGGGGGGTAAGGGTTTATACTGCTGAACAAGGCAGGAAACTGTTTTAGGTGCCACTGAGAGTGATAATGCGGAAATGTTACAAGACACCAAGGAAAATCCAACAACAAATCCATATAATGCTCTACTAATTTGACTTTAGGGCTGTAATAGTCTTAGTCCAACCTAGTGGATGCACTAATATTTTGAGTTTTGAGCATCACAATGAGATTTGATGGAGCGTGTGATAGAAACTGCATTGTCTGACGGTAGCAGCAGTAAAACGCTGCCAGGAGCCTTCACAGCATGCAAGTTTGTTACATAACAATCCGAGTGGACGGCAAATAATCACACTATCAGCACAATCACACACACTCATCCACATACTGACTGAATGTGGTTTAACCGCTGAAACAGTCTTAAAAAATGCTACTGTGGTTATATAACTGTGGGACACTTAGTTTTAGACAAATTAGCATGGACAACTACTTTGCTTATGCTGAGCTCTTCCTTTTCTCTACAGAGAGGAACAGTTATTCAACTATAATTTGACGCACACACACACGCACGCACACACGCACTTTAAGAGCCTCAGAGTGAGCTGTGGCTGCCTAGCAGCAGGCTGAGTAGGCTCTCTCCCAGTCACTCCCACCATCCTGTACTGTCAGCAGCCATGAGTGCTTGCTCAAAGAGGAAATTGCTCACAAACTGGAAATCAGACAGATCAGAATTATACAACAGCACATGTGCAGATTTTACTCTCTAATGCCTCGTGCCTGCACCCTTTGATCTTCAGTGCACACAGGTCTATGCATCAGATGTAGAAACAAGTGCACAGAGATGCAAAAAACATGCAAAGAGGCAGTGCAGCTTGTCAACATGAAAAATGGATCCAAATGTAAACAAAACAGAGTAGTCAAAGACACTTGATACTATGTTTTCTCAGCATTTCTAACAACAGCCTCTTCACTTAGCTTTACTCAATAGTTACTCTGTCATCACTGACCTCTAGATTAATGGGCACTGTAGGCTGTCCCAGAGGAGCCTTGGCAGGATGTTACCCATACATCTCATGGAGGGGCAACTGGTAAGGTGTCACTCTGCAGAAAAGGGATCCCACAATATAAATGCATTAAACCTTATTTAAACTGTATTAGACACATGAATTCCTGATCAGTGACTCAAGCTGAAATCATTAACAGCATCTTTCTCTGACAGGCAGCAACTGCAAGTCCCCTGATACTACGAATAGCTGTCGTGTGCACATGGACACAGGTGGTTTCATGACCAGTGGTGGTTAGGCTCAGCTCGAGGGAGGCACCACTACCAATCACAAGCAGCTGTCCCCACTTAATGCATTTTCTTGTCACTGTGACAACCTTCAGAGGACAAACACTGACGAAAGAAAAAAAAAGAGGTTTTTACAGGTTAACCTGAACAAACAGAAATGACTGTGAACCCATAGACCAGACAACAGGCATTTAGTATTACTAGGTAATGCCATCTGGTGATATTATTCAACAGATCACTATTGCAAAAACATTACCATTGTAATACTTGCTTTTGGATCTAGGATGCTTTGAAAGATCAACTTGTCAAACAACACTGAACTGAACTGAATTTGTACAGTTTGTCCCAGAGGCCAATATTTAAACAAAGGCCTTGTTCATGAGGGTAAACCTTTTAGGGATTAGAAATGTAAATAGCCGTGCCAGGCTCTAATAAGTATATCCCATTTAAAAAGGCTGATGTGATTTATTTATCCCAGGACTCAGGCTCTCAGAGAGGTACAAAGGGAAACAAGGTATAACCAGTTTTTGCATTTTGTCTCCCCAAACGTTTACATTATTCTTATTGTTGAAGTTCAGAGTTTACCCTGGAAACAGCAGGCAAGAAAGGGCAAGACACGTGTATTTGTGTAGCACCTTTCAACTACTACTGGATGAGAAACACTTTTAGGTACTCTGGGAATTTGACAAATGGACAAATTCTATTTGCTGATGATGATCATGTGATACGATCAAAAGCTCCAGAATAGTTATCAAATAGACCTCATGGCTAGACTGTTTTAACTTTATTTATTTATATTTACTGTAATAAATTGCTCTCAGTTTCACTCATTGAATACACACATAAACTAGCCATAAACCAACATATGTAATATGGCACAGTGTACCACCAAAAATATATTTTTACATTAAAAAAGGTCCAAAATAATTCAGTGAGTGAGTTAATTCTGTGAGTCCTCTATACAACCATGGAACCAGCTCTCTACAGGAGGACTGCCATCTAGTGGACCTATAGAAACCAATCAGAGGTTTATATTTGCCTTCAGATAATTTGATGAGATCGTTTTATTGTCAATGACATCACAAATGATGTCATAGTAATTACCTACTATCTTATAAGATGGAAAAATGAAAACAGTAAATATAAATGAACATTTGCTAGTTAACATCCAACACAGTTACAGTTACACAGGATGAGAAATCAACAACAGGGAACCTGTCTGTATGTAATTCATGGTAGTTGGGTGTGATGAGTTAAACTTATCATTATAATGTCCACTTCTCTTTTGCACTAAACATGAGATCATGAAAGTGGCAGGTGAATGTAGTTTAACTTACCTCATCTTTGGTCTGTGGATGCAAATGTTTGCCCCTTTCCCTGACAGTTAGCTACAGTGTGGTAGGTTCCCCCACAGGCATATCAGATCCAGAGTTACGTAACACACATACAGTCTGCTGATGTTTATCTTATGATCTGTCTCAGTTTCTGAACATCAATTTTCACTGCAATCTTTCACACTGACTGTAGTTGAGGAATTGTAATTCTCTGAGTTGAATGACAGGAGACATCACTGAGGGGTCTTGAGTTTTTTCAGACTGGCAGTCCTGGCTTCGTGCTGCTGCTGCTTCTGTTTCTTCAGATGACGATAGGCCTCCACTGCTCGCTCCCTCTCTTCCTCCATGATTCTCTGTCTGGCCATGGAGGGCTTGGCTGTGGAGGCCATTGTGTGGCCTAGGAGAGAGTTCAGAAGCAGGTCCTTTGAAGCCTTCTGAACGATGGAGGCAGAGAAGAAAAACAGTTAATTACTTATTCAAAGATTGGTGAGATAACATGATAAATCCACAGAGTTGTTACCTGAGATTTGACCTGAGCTTTCCTGGGTTTGGTGCTCAAAGACGGCGGGGCCATTGAAACTTCCCCAAAGGGAACATGATCTACAAAACAGAAACCATAATTTAATTATACAAAAAGCTTCACACCTCCCTCAGCTTTGGCAGGTTTAGCTGCATTCATTAACTTTTTTAGCCACTTTGGATTATACAACAAGTTGGAAACAGAACATTTCATATATTATCATCTTACAAAGTAGTTATGATTACCGTAATTGTTTTGCAAATAATTGCTGAGTAATACATCTATCAAACACACAGACAGTAAACATACATTAATTTAGATTTGTGTTTGTGTCAACCAGACCAAGTTCAATATTTAGTTTCCTTTCAGCTCTGTTTTTGATCTCCACCAACAGCGATGGAAATATCAGAACCTTAGCTACTAAATGCTCCACTATATTCACCAAATAGTCCTTAACTGTGTCCGTCAGCTGTTTGGTGCTGTGCATGTAGTGAACAGTGAGTTTATCAGCAGGATTAACTGTTCTTGAAAAACATTCTTTCATTACCTACGAACATCTCTTTTTCCATCATGTCCTCTTGTCTGTTCAACTTTTTCTGCTGTAGCCTCTGTAATCTCACTTTATCATACCTGTAGCAAGACAGTAAAGAATAAATAAATTAGACATTTATCATCCAGGAATAATATAATTCTGTGATTAACATTGACATTTAAATGCATGTTGGATTTTAGCATTTTATGTGTAAATGTGTGTAAAGCAGAGCTGATTGGCAGATTAATCATTAATTATTTTGATATTAAAGTGATCATTTGGGCCAAGCAATTGACTTGGTTAAGACAAAACAAAACATAAGACCTAAACTTGGCCTCTTGAAAACTGTGATGTATTTTTTTTATCTTGTAATATTTTATAGCTACAACAACCATTTGATTAACAGAAAGTGATCAATAGATTAATCTATAATAAAAATACTAATTAATTGCAGCCCTAACATTAAGTACATGTAAGTTTATTTTACGAAATAGAGAAGTTTAGTATTTTTTTTAATTCACCGGCACATTTCAAAGATAAATAGTGCAACTTTTTCTTGTATTTAGGCTTAAACTGTGACAAATTGCTGCAGTGTATACAACCACAACAGATTATATCTTTATCTCTTCATTGTCCCTTACGGCGAGTTTGCTGCACTTCTGTTATATGTATGAAACCTTAGCCAATCTAAGCAGAAGGATAGCATGCCATATTTGCACAAACACCTATCATCAAACTGCTGTGCTGGTTACAAGTCTCAATGTACTCACTCCTTCTTTTTCTCGGACTTGCCCTTGTCTGCACCCAGCTCAGGCTTTCTGTCTACTTGGTTCTTGGTGAGGAAGAGGACATGTTTTGTCTCCCTCTCCATGCGCTGCAGGTATGCTTTCTCACTTTCGTCCTTTCCCCTCCTGAAATGTGGCACAGGTATGTCTCCATCCTTGGATTCCTCCTCTGGCTTACTTTTAGGGGAGGGGGCTAAGAGGCAGAAAACAAATCCCTCACTACCTGTAGGACAAACTCATGAGTGAAAAGTATAAACAAGTTTTTTTTTTTTTTTACCCACCCTCTTTTAGCTTTTTGGATCTCAAAGGTCCCGTTTTCATTCTCTCCTTGCTCTTCATTATCTCTCGGAGCCTGAAGGGGATGTGTTTGAGGTGGTCCTGTTGTTTGGCTTTCTTGGGTTTATCATCTCGTTTGAGCTTAGTATCACTGAAATTTAGACAAATTACAATCCATACAACATGTAAGAAAAATGGAAATAAACGTTACCCTTTGAAGATAGTGTATTGCAGGCTCATACCCTATCCTAAATGTAGGAATGAGTTTAACAAGTTGACTCTAGCTCGTAACTAACTTACAGAGCTAATAACGGTTAGCTGCTGTAGCTAGCTAGCAGCGTTTCCGTCATTAGCTACACATTAGCTTCCTTACGTTACCTTGGATGTTTACCGGTCTTGTTCGCTTGTTTTCCTGATTCGTTGGTTTTGCTCTTCTTATTCTTCCCCATGTTACTGCACTTTATTTCAACCAATGCATGACAAAACAACAACACATGTAGAGCAGCGTGTATAGCCTTTAACCTATGAACCTCAACCTTAGGCGTCAAGGAACGAGGAAGTAAAGAGCTCTCACTCCGTCGCTTTTTTCGGGCATTGTAAGCAAGCAAATTAAACGTTGTTGATTGCCTAATGTTGACGCTCTTGCACCTTGCTCCTCTCCTATACACTGGGTTAGATCTTGTTTGAAGTGCCCTACGTATAATTTATTTAGGTAAATTAAGTACAGAATGGATAACAACACCATATGAATCACACCCGGTTCCTGAAAAGTGGAATAAATCTATATCAGAGTGATATACATAAAAAGCAAACGATCTTTGCTGTAAAGGACGTCGTGATTGGTTAAAGTAACTGCTATTACTCCTATCAGCCGCTAGATGGTAGTGTACTTCATTTGACTATCCAGATGTGTGTTATTATTGATTGTCAGTAGACATAGCTATTGTTAAGGTACTAACTATTCAGTTGCTTGTGATTTTATTTATATGGTTTGCATTCTTATTTAGACAGTCTTCCACTAATTTATTTACAATAAATGAGCATTGTTCAGTTTTGTTCTGTAAAACTGTGCGATCCGCACCATCCCTCAGCTCAAAACAAGCCGAAGTTGCTGGTTCGTTTAGATGCCAAATCAAAACAGATGTGAGAGAGAGGGTGAGAATCATATTTGAAATATAAAACTTGGTACTAAATGATATGATGAATGAAAATGATGATACATTGTATGGTATGGTGGAAGGAGTACTCAGATCATTTACTTCAGTAAACATCACTGCAATGAAAAATTCAGAAGTACTACTAAGTATAATCATCAAAATGTACCTAAATTGCAAGCAGCCCACTCATTATGCAGAATGGTTCTTTTGAGAGCATGGAATATCATATATATCACATTTATAGATCATTATTTCTGATGCATTAAAAAGAGAGCAGCATTTCATCCAACAAGTAGATATGTTATGTAGCCTATATGTAATATGTTTAATCGGCAAAGTAACTAGCAACTATAGTTCAGCAACTAAGTACAGTATTTGAGTAGCAATAAGTTTATATTCCACCATATCACTTTTTTGTCTCAATACTTGTGATGGACATTTTCAATATTTTTACATTTTATAAACTTAACAATGAATGAATGAATTTTATATATATATATATATATATATATATATATATATATCCAAGGCATTCTCTGAGCCTGACACAGGTGTTTGTGATTGTTTAAAGAATATTTGCTAAATCTGTGTCTTTGAGAGAGACTGTAAGTAAATAAATCACATGAAACTAGAGTGTGTCCGCGTGTTTGCATGTGCATGAAGTATGTAGCTTACAGAGAGAAGCTGTAGCAACCCATCAGATGAATGAATAAGGTGTGTGTTTATGTGTGTGGAAGGTAGGGGGGGATTACAACAGACATGTGAGCCTCAATCTGAGAGACTGCTGATGAAAGGAGAACGCTGCCTCTGTTCATGCTAGTATGTTCTCAGCTGTAGATGTTGCATAATATTGCAGGTGGTGGGGAGATGCTGAGGATCATGGGACTCCACTGCTTGTCAGCCAATCTCTAATCAATATACTGGTCAATATACAATGTTAAAGGCCTGTGTGTGATGAAGGCCCTGCAGTTTATTGGCCGGTAGCGTCATAATCTTCTCAGAGTCTGAGGAGTATAAGAGAGTTTCACAACACAACTGTCATGTAACAGCAGCCTGGAACTCTACAACACTACCAGCTGACATATACAGCAACACAGGTGGTGAGTATTTGTAGCAAGGTTGTGCATATGAGCTTTTTGGACACATTATCAACTTATCTAAATACTAATATTTTTATGTCATATATGACAAGTTATCTCACATTCTATTGTGCGGTTTTTCTGTACTTTCAATTTCAGTTGTGATTTTAATATTAATAATTTTATGAGAACATTGCTTGCTATTTGAAAATTATCAGGATTTTTTTTGTTGTCTTTTTTTCAAATTTGAATATCAATTTATTAAATGAAAAAAAGGTAATTTACACGTTAAAACATTATCATTAATAAACATGAATCCAATTCAAACGTTCTTCCATTAATTCTACTTTTATGATGCCTATAATGTTCAGTTTTTTGACACCGTCATAGAGGTGTTAATTCAATTATATGTTATACATATGGTGTTATACTGGACTGCATTACTTTCAGTTATATATCCATTTATGTATATATATATATATGCAAAAAAAACTAATGTATTCCAGTACAATACACCTTCAACTATGACCCCAATACAGAACACTAAATTGAATATACACGTTTACATATTTCCAACACTGTCAACAAAAAACTGAACATTGTAAACTTTGTAAAGGAAGGATTTATGGCAAAGCTGTTGTATTGAATTGCATTAGATTGTGCAGGTGTACCTAATTCAGTGGTCACTGAGTGTATTTTTGTAACAATAAGAGAGTGGTAACAGTGAGTTAGAGCATTGAACAACACAATTTATAGTCTACATGTATTTAAATTATTCACACCAAAGTATTTAGTCAAATCTATCTGCTTTGAATTTACCTATGATTACATTACTGGTTATTTCATTTCTACACCCGGATACACGTTTTCCTTTTAATTATGTTGCATTTTTGTGAAGTTTCCTTTCAAAACTCCTCTCACTTGCAGACAAATTGATTGTGTAATTTATGAGCTATTGTCAGGGTAGGACCACAAGCCGATTCAGCATGTCCTCACAATAATCTGATTATGGAGACGCTGTGAAGATTAGCGGCATTGTGGAGGCTTAATTAGTAATGTGAGCATGAGATTACAGGAGCCGTCATTATCTGTACATCTGTATTTCTTCAGATATTCAGTTATTTAGAAGTCTTTGTAACTGCAAAAAGATGCCATATTTTGTATTGTGTAATATCAAAATGAAAAGTAGTGGAAATTGAAATTGATCATTATTGATATGGACTTGAATGCAATGTTTGGCCATTGACTGTCCCATTGTAGCTCAAACAAAAGAAATATGAATTTGGACGTGGCCAAACCTGAAGCGAAGACTGGCAGCAAAGCTCCCATCAGAGCCACCGGTCCTGGGTCCCCACGCAAGGGCGCACCCAAGTTCAAACAGAGGAACAGCCGCCAGTTCAAGAGCAAGCCTCCTAAGAGGGGTGTCATTGGGTAGGCCTTACTTACTTACATTTTCATGTCATCTAGAGAATTTGTCTTCAAAACATGTTTAAAATAAACCACATTTTCCCCTCAATAAAGCTTGCGATTTGTTTTTCTTTCTCAGCTTTGGAGAGGAGATCCCAGGAATGGAAGGTCTTGGCACTGGTAAGGAGGGTTGGCGTAGTTAGGCCATCACAACGCTAAAACATACACACACCTTTTCCTTTTCACTCCTTTTCACCTTGTCACTCACAATTTGCTCCTTCTTTTTTTTTAGACATCACTGTAATCTGCCCATGGGAAGCTTACAGCCATCTAGAGCTACATGAACTGGCTCAGTATGGTATCATCTGAGTCTCGTCACTGTGAAATTCTTTTTATATTCACCAAAGGGAACTGGCGATGTTGGCAAGTTTAGCAAATGGAATTTCATCTACCAACTCCTAACAATCTGGATCATCAGTATTGGCTTTGTTTCAATGGTAAACCACACACTAAAAATATAGCATGTGAAATATATCTCTACATATTGTGGATGCTGTTCTCTGTATGAGTTGTTTTTATACATTAAATCTATTTTCATAGGAGTCTCAAGCTGCCATTTTAACATGCATGACCCACTGATGCTGAATGTGTCTTATGTCATTGAGGTTGAAGTAGGAGCTGTAACTAAAGACTTGGTTACTGGCATTAAAGACAGGGTTCCTGCACAACTGTCAGCTTCATATTTATTATCTTTAATCAAACTCAGAATAAAGCTTGGTATTTTTTTAACAAACTATTTTCCTCTTCTTCTTTCTTTTCCTCTTTGAATAGTGCCATATCAAACCATGCTACTATGTTTGAAACATTACATAATTTCCATTATAATGTTTTAATTTGTCCCTTTTTTAAAAGAAGAGTAGCATGTGTGAACCACAAAAGAATCAGAACAGCGCATTGGGTCAATTAAACTATTGCTTATTCCCACAAAGTGACAATGTTTCTTTGCATTTTGCCAATAGTTCAAATGATAGTTTTGTGAAATACACTTATTCACGTTTTTGCAGAGCGTTACATTGTTAAAAACATTTATTCTGCTCACATATCTGTACAATAAATAGAAAGCTGAAACCAGCAGCCGGTTAGCATAGCTTAGTTTATAGCATAAAGATTGGAAACAGGGGGACAGGTAACAAAATCTGCTGTCAAGCTGCTACCTATTATTTTCAAATCAGTAATTTTGGAAATTGTGTCTGATTATGAGTTCTTATTCATCACGGTAAAAAGATATGTAACATGTTGTCCAGGAGAATTGAAAGTTTTTTACAGCTCATACTGTAGATTTAGAGTTAGACAAGGCCTCGATCTTGTGTTTTGAAACATTAAATGTCTCCGCCTTTGAATCAAAACACGGATTTTTGCATGTTGATTCATGGTCGTTGTTCTGCCACCTTGACATTTTAAGTTGGAAATTACTAATTGTTTTTCTCTTCCTTTCGCAAAACAGGCACAGTGATCTGAATTTGATTGTGTGACAAACAGAATCGAAAAAGCATTCATCACTCATTACTTGTATTCATCTCCCCATGTCATATATAAACTTTATGCCACTGGATGCTTTCCAGCAGTCGTGTAGTGATAAACAGAGTCAGAATCTGGACCCCCACTGCAACGATGCCAACTGTCCCTATCAGGCCCTCGTGCTGCTCAATCCAGCGAGAGATTCCCCCCAGACAGCCACCCAGGAATATCACACTCTGAGCGGTAAACTCGTCGAGCTGCTGGGCTCCTACACCACACTGAGAGTTCCACACCGTGCCGTTCTCCAAAGGGTCCACACAGCATGTCGCAGGGACACCACAGGCCAGCACTCCTGGAGCTGAGCAGTTATAATATCTGAGGAAAGAGGGAAAAAAAATAAAACACTGAGCAGCAAATTTGCTGAAGACATTTCTTTATGATGACTAATAAGTCTTTTATAGAAACACATCCAAGTTGGTCACACTCTACTCACATGTTGACCTCCCAGTCACGGTAGTTGTCTGCCCCACAGCACTGCAGATTTGACTGAATCTCGTCCGTAATGAACCTCAGATCCAGATCATCCTGGTAATGCACCATGGCAGCTAACATCCCTGAGCGCAGGTAGCCTCCAATCTGGTCTTGCAGACTGTAGGCCATAATGGCGGCCAGCACCTGGGCCGTGATGAGCATCAGCACCGCGGCGGAGAACAGCTTCAGTAAGCAGCAGTTCTCTCTTACGGCGCCCACGCAGCCTGACAGGCAGAGCATAGTCAAGAGCAAGCCCAGAGTCACAAGTATCAGCATGGGGTCAGTGCCGATGCTGCTGATCTTCTCCTGAGCAAATGACTCTTTGGTGATGAGGCCCCACATCCCCAGACCAAGGACCACCAGGCCCAGAACTGTGAACACCAGATTGCATAGGAACAGGAAATATTTTAGGAAATAGTCCATCAAAGAATAACTGTAATGGGGTTGGATCCTTGTGAATACAGGGGTGTTGAGGTCCTGTCCATTGTTTGTCCCTGTTTGGTGAAATTCAGTGGTGACATGGCCAAGCTCCTCACCTTCCTCTTTTGCAGAGCCTGCCTTTGGACACACAGGAATGCAACTAAATACCATAGTTTTATAGAGCTAAGAGGTACACCATATTCAAAAAGTACAACAAAACAGAAGTTCAAAAGTGACCCCTTACCTTTGGTATGAGTGGAGTGGACTCACTCTGCGTATTGTCCCTCCTGAACCACGGCAGAGGAATCCTTTTTATCCCCAAGTATCTCCTCATGTTGTCAGCTCACTGGGAGACGATCCTCCCTGTGCTTTTAGCTTTCTGGAGTGACCGAAGCTAAAGTGTAGCACAGGGGGAACATTTGTTACGGCACGAACAGAGGAGCATGTGAGCTGAGGTGGAGTAACCATACAGTGTACAGCCCCAGGCTCCTGTGAGAAGTGGGATTTTTTTCATCATGTGAGAGTCACAGTGAGGGGATTAGACGGTTATCACAGCATGAATGAGAGACTCTCTCACACCCACACACACACACACACACACACACACACACACACACACACACACAAAGAGTGGGACTCGAACAAAGTAGAACAAGACACTTTTGACGTGAGGTTTACTCATATAAACCACAAACATGTCAAAGTTTTCAACTGTTATGTAATCTTTTAATCAGGTATGGAAAAGAAGAAGTGGATAGTTAAAGAAAAACTGGTATGTTTTTTTTCCTACTGACTACAAGCACCGAAAACAAAATTAAGTATTGAAAAACAACTTGTAATTTGATATGTGCAGGTTTGAAAATTTTTTTTTTGAAAAACAAAGTCATGTAATACAGTTCTTAATGATATAAAAACTGGAATCTGGGGACTTTAGCTCATTGTTGACTCAGGTACAAATTTAGCTAATCTCATGTGTTTGGGCCTCAGTTTCCTGACATTTAGTTGCAGTTGTTACCAACCTGCCAGCTGAGGCCTCAACAGGGAGCATGCAAAATAATATTAATTTTTCCTTTTTTTTCATGCAAGTTGGTAGATATTTTCCCTCTTCATGGCTCAAACAAGGAAGTAAACTTGGTCTTGGTTTTCTCAGGCTTCATGCAAATCAGGGTCAGCCCTACTCCAATCCAGATTGGTGGTAACGCATCTGAAGCTGTTTGGTAACTGCCAAAATTGCCTGAAGAAAAATAAAGTCTGCAGTTTATCAGTTTAGTTACAACGATAACAGTTTAGTTAATGTTAGCTAACAACTATCCATGAACTAACCCACATGTGAATGAATTTATTTATGAACTACAATCAAGACAAACGTTTTATTGTTTTCTCTTTGACCAATTACACATGCAAATCCAGACAGATCAATACTTTTTCTTTTCCTAACTTTCCATGTAAATAGGACTATGCATTTTTTCCTAAACTATCCAAGGTTTCCTGGGACTTAACTTGTCGTTCATTACTGTGGTGCTAACAGGCAATGCATTACTGTGCTTAAAAAGTTCATCAATATAAATCAGATCTAATGTCAGAAAAATACATACCTAATTGTTATCATGTGAGTTATTTTGTGTCAGTTTTTTTTCTCACTTTTATTGAACACATAGTTAAAGTTGTTTGGCTAAGAAAGACAGACTGGTCAGCTGGCCCTGCTCTGACGGGATGGAATAAATTTTGCATGTTGGAATATAAGAGGTTCAATTGAAGTGTAATATTTCCACCAACCATCTCAACAGAGTTAAGAAAGCCCAGGCTGCTCTGGTGCGCATCCAGGGGAAATAATCCCTGTAAAAGAGCAGACAAGCTATGTGCGCATGAAATATTACATCTGCGCTTGAATTCAAGTGTATGGCAATGCACGTAATACATGAATATGCTATAATATAATGACTGAAGTGCATACGCAGAAACCTAGAGTGATATACACCGCTGAGCACAGTGAGCAAATCTGCTTGGTGCTTCCATTTCACAGCTGCAGCCTTGATAAACAGCGCCTTTCCTTTTATGAGAGTGAGAGACGGTGATCCAGGCTTGTTAATGTTGCATTTTTACAGGCTCCTGCTTGGCTATCGCTGTGTTTTAGCAGGAGCAAAAATCTCTGCACAGCACCCTCCCTCAAAGTGTTCTCTTTCGCCATGTGGAGCCACAACACCAAACAAAATCTTTCCATAATCATTCCTGCTAGCTCATGTATGATTGCTCGTTTTTGTTTTTTACTTTATTTTGCAAGTATTCACCAGGAGTTTTATGTCTGCCATAAAGCGGGTATGTCTAGCAGGTGAACTGGTCTTCACACCAGAAAGCGGCAGTCATCAAAACATTTTATTTGAATATAATTGCGACCACTACTGATACTACAGTTGTTATTTGTAATAACTGCACCAATAATTATTTGTACACACTGATACAAGAATGATTATCCTGGTGCAAATGCATTGTTGCAATATCTCACTGTGAACACTAGAGGGCAGTCACGGACCTAAATACACTCAGCTCAGCTCAGCTCAGCTCGTGTGAAGGCAGACATACTGTAATACTAATGCAATATATAAAAACTGCAAATGAAACATTTCAATACAAGAACGAAGAATCAGCTGTGTTTTTAATTTTTGTGGAGGTGGACAATTATAACTATGAATGAACTTATGTAAGTGATATGAATAAATGTATATATAAATATCAGAATAATTCTCCCTAAATGATGTATGTTTGTAGGTTCTACCCATAAATAACAATAAATGTGATCATTTCATCAACATTTTTGGCCCAGTTCACCCAGTTTGTGTTCGGTAAATCAGCTGCTCCAGGACGTGTTTAATCTAGTTTGGCTCAAACAGTGGAGGCCGAGGAAACTGTCTGTCAAAAACACCTTGCAGCATCCCCACAATGGTGTCCTTTATGTACTTGTTTCATTTTGTAAGCTTGCATCAATAACTCATCATAAGTTCACTATGACGACAAGTGGTACAATCTTTAATTTAAAGTATTACACTGATTCTTAATGATTACTTCCCACCCTGCCACACTTATCAGAGTAATTGTTTCAAGTCAGATGACAACAACAACTGACTACATCATCCTCTTGGTCATCCGTGTCCCTTTACAAGCACCGACAGTCATGTGATTCAGTACGAAACACGAGAATCCTCAAGGTGCACCTTCTGTTTGGCAACAGTCTTTAGCCATAAGAGCTGATATATTTCAGCTTAACTGGCCTCTCAATATTGATCTGATAAACTCATTATAATGTGCTGCAGTGAGTCAATAACAAGCAGCAAGTGAGAGAGCACATGTGACAGTGAGTTAAAAAACAGAAAGACAGAGGCCTGGCTATCTCACCCTCTGGCTCTGCGGGTCCACTGCTGTCATTCTTTCCCTCTGCGTGTAGCTGGACAGAGATGCAGAGAGCTGGAAGGAAGTCAACAGTCTTCTGCTGCAGACAGAGCCTGGTGTTGGACTCCAGATGGGACTCGAGAGGCTTATAAGGCTGGCCATCAGTCCTGCCATGAATTTGTTTCCATATTAATGTGTATTAACAGAAAAACAAATTATAATTTATCACATCCATCACTGACCTCCCGGATGAGTCTGTGTGGAGAGACGGTAATAGTTTTAACACTGGCGTGGCCTTTACCTGTTTGATATTGGAGATGAATTTGCATGGTGTGCCTGTAATTGAATATACACCTGTATTCACTGGTCCACAACAACACATACAGTACCCAGTGGTGGAAGGCAACATTTACTTGTACTCTACTAGGGTGTTTCCAGTTTATGCTACTTCATACTCCTGCTCCACTAAATTTTACATGCAAACATATGACCAATGTGTGAAATATGATGCATTGTTATAGATTAAACTACACTACTACACTATATTGAGATAAAATATATATATATATATATATATATATATATATATATATATAATCAAGTAATAAAGTATAACATTGAAGAGTCATCCTGCTGCAATATGAGTAGCTTCCTTTTACTTTTGATATTTTAATTTAATTTTCCTGCTAAATAAAACTGTATCACTTTTACTTAGAGTATTTGCACCATGAGGTATTACTATTTTTACTAAAAAGTAAAAGTTCTGAATACTTCTTCCTCCACTGCCTGTAAAACACAAACCTTCTGTCAGTGCTCTGCTGCACGTTTCCACTGATGTAGTGGAAAATAACCCATTGGGCAAACAATGAACTCCAGTCTGCTTGGCTCAAAAGACAAACAACCACCACCAAAATACTTTTTTTTACTCAAATATCAATTGTGAGCTAATAAATAATTTGTTCAAATAGAATATGGGATGAAAATATAAATAAGATTATAGCAGATTTGCTCGCTGACAGATTCAGAAGTTGGATGTCAGTTTTTTTTTTAAACAAATCTTACTGTTTCCTTGTTTCTAAATCTTTTGAGAGGGTGAGATTTTAAAGTGCATTTAGCTCTCACTTCTTGAGTGGAATCCAAAATATCCTGTAGTGTTGTCAGCACTGAAGATGTATGGAGCAGATACCACCATGCTCATCCTACTTTCAGCATGCATTAAGCTGTGATGTCTCCGTGGGCTCTAAGTTGGTGCAGATGGCAGGGATGGTTGCCCAGCCAGATTCCTTTTTAAGCAGTGATGGGCTGGCCTCATGTCATATATCAGTAAAAATATCTGCACACATCAGCACAGGATGCTGCACGATCTTTCGAATGGAATTATAGGAGTTCTGATCTGGAGCAGATCATCGCTGGAATTTCTTGCAATGAAAGGTATTTCATTTCAGAGCTGACAAGGAAAATCACTGCTTTTGCCCGGTATTTAAAAAAGAAGGAAAATGTGCTTTAGTGACATATATTTTTCGTCTTCTCACGGGTCCAGCTGCATTCGCCTGTGCAGATTATAAATTGAAGAAATCTTTCTTTGCATTGAAGCTAAAGAAAATGTGTTGCTTCACCACAGCAGTGAGATTATCTCCAATTAAATGACCGAGAGTCGTCAAAGGGGAATTAATGTCAATCTGGGTAAAATAAGACTGAATCATACGCACCCTGTTTGAATTTCTAATCAACTTTACGGTCTAAAAATACCTTTAAATAGTCTCTCAGTCTATGCTATTGAAATGATTGACACCAATCAACCTGTGTTATTCTTTTATGTTCAGCTTCATTAAATGTGGCTCTCAGGTTTTGATCGGCCTTGACGGTTGCTGGCTGGGTTTGTTGTAGCCCAGATGCCGAGCAGATTGTATTACAGTAGGCAGTAAGAATGCTATGCTGGAACCACACTGCTACATCAAACACCTCCTCTGGATTAGAGCCTATAGGGCGTCCAGTCGCCCTACAACACTCACAGCAGCTAAAAGACATGTGCAGGATAGATGGAACATAGATAGGGGATTATCAGAACCTCCTATTCAGCCTCTGTGGGGTTATCAGTACAGCAGATGTGAAAGCTGCAAGATACATATGAGAGGAGACTGAAGTGGAAAGCATGTGTGTGTGTGTGTGTGTGTGTGTGTGTTTGGGGAGCTTTGCCTTCAGTACCATGTTGTGTGTTTGGCTATGCAGCAGCATGCTTGCAGAGTGTATCACAGCTCTGCATCACTGAAGTAGGAGGGAGCAGGTGGGGAGGGTGGCTCTAGAAGTTTAGGGAGGCAGTTATAAGGGAGTGCTGCCCAGGTCATGGTTTATCAGTGCGTCTCTGTCGAAGGATCGTACCACAGTGTGTTCTGCTGCTCTGACCCAGAGAGACCCCTGGCACTACTTCACAGAAAGGTATCGTAAAATCCAACGGCACAATGGTTAATGCTGATTAGGGTTCTTTGCACTGTTTCACCTCCAGTAAGTGAAGATAGAAGAGAGTAGAATACATTCTCTAAAAAGTGCATATGTGTCTTACTTTGGGAAATGATCATTTATATGCAATCATCTGAGGGGCAAAACCTTGGTTACCTATTATCTGAAATTAAAAAAAAAAGCATTTGCATATGAAGCTAAATATATAAGGTAAAATCATTTGACGTAAGAAGTTTGTGTTAAACATGTCACCTTCCAATTTCCAAGATTTCCTTTCCTTTCCTTTGCACTTGTTTCCCAGTGGCAGACATGTCTTATATTTGTGTTTTTTAGTTGAGGTGAGGAAGATGAGGATGAAGGCTGCTCTGGTCCTTCTCTGCATGATCTCGACGTGTAGAGGTCAGAAATGGAAACAGGAAACCCCGCGCTGGGATCCTAAAGGTTAGGGACGATTGTGTCGCAACTCTCCGCGATCTGTAAAAGGATTATCAATAATGTTACTTTTAAAAAGCACTCAAATGAAGATTGTGTGTAGGGTGAATACTAGTCCACTCAGTCTTAGTAAAAGTTTCTGTCTTCAGCAGAACACACCAATGGCAAAACTTGTTCCAACCTGACTCAGGTACTGGACAATTGGAAATTCGCTATTCTAACCCAAGTGAAAGACCTGCTGATCAATGACCATGCCTCTGTCCTTCCTGAATACAACAGGTGGGTCTCACACACACAAACACACACACACACACACACACACACACACACACACACACACACACAATGACTGGACTGACTGCATGCTGCAGTACACAAACAAGCCAGAACAACAAGAAGAAAATTCTCAATGTTGAGCAAGAGAGAGGTGAAAATTTGCAGGAATAACAAGAACCCTGTGACGTCAGTGAACATTTTATTGTTCCTTTCAGTCATATGAAATTAGAAATTATGTAACTCACTTTGCTCCACACGTGACTGTGGACCTGTCAGAGCCAGTAATGTGAGCCATGATTACTGTGGACCATGCAAGGCTGACTCTGCTTTGTAAATGACCTCATTGCGGAGACTGTTCCAAATGAAAACGGGAAACGTTTCAGCCTCATGTTCTGATGAATACAGCGTTTCTGGCAGACGTTGCTTGAAGTCATTGACCCTTTCCTCTGGAGATTAGGGGCTCTGGAGTATGATACCAACAGCTATGAGCATGTTTAATGTGAACAGTCCCAAATGGCCATTTCAGGTGGACAGGAGGCTCAGTATTGTTGAAGTTGGGCCAAAAGAAAAAGCTATATTTTTATACTCAAATCTCTTTTTAAGGGACTTCCGTTATTTATGTCTGTTATCCTGATGTTTCCTGCAGATGATGGGGCTGTTTCTGCTTAACCGAATGTCGTGACTTTCATGCTCATGTTGCCAATTTGACTTGGTTCTCCGCTCACTTTTTGCTTTGCAAACAAACAATGTTCCTGTTTCATGTGAGCTTGTGGAGCGTTGCAGTGCCAAAGTTTTCTGACTGGTCATTTAGATACTGAAACCATTTATTCTTTTCTTCTTTCCCAAATGTCTCTGCATTTGTCCAGGATCCAACCTCTGTCAGATGCCCTGGGAGACCTCTACAAGCAGTTTAACGCTCTAAAAGACGAGCTGGGGACTCTCACTGTGAAGTTTGACGGATTGGAGGCTTTTGTGGACGACCTTAAGGACGGCAGATTTGCTCTGCCTCGGCGACCCTTACAGAGGATTCCCCCCAGTGTTGGTCTCAGGTCTCCACTGCGAGCACAGATGAGGGCTCCCGACAGGGGGATTATCACAAGGCCAGCGCTGGTCAGAGCGAGGAGGAGAGGGCCACAGAGACCTTAGACCTGCTGTTATAAATGCTGATGTGTTGAACCAGAGTCGATATGTTTATATATCTTTCAGAAGAAGATGATTAGTTTCTATTATTTTATTGATGAGTGTGATGTGAGGGAAAGATCACATGAATAAGACTGACTTAGTGATGCATGGTGTAGAAATCGCCTTAAAATGTACTTATCTTCACCTTTCTGTGCAAAGTCACTTTCAGCCACAAGGTGGCAGCATTTATCAAATGAACTCGACTGTCGTCCTGCTGCTCTATGTGTAACAGAGTTGTGATATAACAGTTGCAATATAATACAATTTTCTTTTCACATTAATTAACACTGTATGATGTTTTTTTCTTTACTTTGTGTGTTTTTTTTAAAATTTGTTTATATAATAGTTAAAAATAGATTCATGCAGTCACAGTAAACAGGTGGTAGATTTGGAGCAAATGCTTTACAGAAACACAGCTATCTGCCAAATGATTTTTTTTTTCCATGTTCAAAGTTGAATTGATTTGGGACATCTGCGAGTCTGACTCCGTATAGCATATACCATCA